TGTGCTCTTCCGATCTGCCTAAATACTATATTGTCTCACATTTAACATGATTTGCAGGGTAAATTAAACAAAAAATTCTCTCCGTGTAGTTATTTTTTTAACTCGGTAACAAGTAACGATAACTAGTTACTTTTAAGAAGTAACTTTCCATTCCCTGATAATATGTTAATCTCTATAATCTTTTTTTCTATACGTTAATAATAAAACACGTAATAACAAAACATTAATAATTTTTTCTCTCTCTCTCTCTCTTTCTCTATGCTAATAAAATAAATACAGATAATATTAATTATCGATTAATTTAATCGCTATTAATTATATCGACAAAATGATTTACAAAAACGTTTCTAAATACACATATAACTTGTGTTATTCCTGATTCAATTTTTTTATTCCATATATGTTAAAGAACAAAAACAATAATTCCCAAATTAAAATAAAAAATATGTTAATACCACACATTTACAATACTCGATAAGTTGGTCATTAATTAACTTAATTGACAATAAATAAACGAACGGAATGACTTAACATTTTTATAAGCATATAGAGTATATAATCTAATCTTTCTGTAATAAAACGCAAATAATTATAATAATTCTATTTCCAAGTAATAGCAGAATATATGCCACAATTATAACGCGTCGCACAAGAAAAAGACAAATAATCTAGTGCAAATTATTCATCACATCAATTTTGTGCCATTAAATCAATTGTTATCAAATTTACTTCTAAACACGGATAAAACCCGTGCAATTATTATAGTTTTTATAACGTGTCGTGAACTTGTTAATTAAAGTATATACGGGATTTTCACAATGTTAGAGCTCACGATACAAAGTAATAAAGAGGATAATACGCATTCATTCTTCTATTCAGTTTTTTGTTCGCGTTTTTTTCCAAACGCGGAAATTTTTTTTATTCATGTGCTTTGGAAAAAAACGAGGCGTTATAATAACTCAATTGCAGCAACAGTGATTGCGCAATGATTCGCGCGGCACTCGCAGTGATCATAATATATCTAGTCTAGTGTAACACGTGTATGTTTCTGCCATAAGTTATGACTTTCTTCCCTCGTCCGGAAGGACATAAGAATGTGTAAAAAAAATTGTTACGCTACGTTTGTGTCTATGATTCTTTTTTCTTACACTGTTCGACATTTAGAAAAAAAAATAGCCGCGGACAGAAAGTTTGCAGACCGAATAATATATTTTATTTTTACGATCTTATTAATAATTTATAATTCTAATAAAAAATAATTGATGGTGCAATTTATCACATTTCTGTCTCATGCTCCTCGCTGGTTCTGGAAACAATATTGAAAAACATGTTGTATTTATTGTTAATTCGCGCGAGGGGACAATCTCTTGGAATATTTCATAAAGATTGCGTAATACTATTAAATACGTAGATGTATGCAAAATGCACATATCTATGCGAACAGCGATAAATAAAATCCGGTTCTCGATTAAGATATTAAGTACTCGATTTAATAAACGAGCATACTAAGCATATTATAAATAGTTTGCATTCGTTAAAGATAATATTTAAAGTGCATTTTAACGCACCATCTCTAAACGTTGACGTTGGTCAACAATGAAGTCAAGAAAATAATTAATAATAATTAGCGAGCGTTTTTTTTTCAGCAAGAAGTATTATGTCTCATCGATGTCGAGGAAGATTATTTAGGTAGTTCTCATAGAAGATTTACCGATGACGGAGATTAATAGAAATGTCAATAGCACAAATTATGACGGACTATTTAAATGTAAATTTAACCAAATGAGAAGTATTTTTCAATATTTACGCGAATATATTAAACGTAAAAATATGAAAAAATAATTAGTGCTTAAAGAGATAATGAATAAATCTCGATCACTTAAAAATTTATTTGTTTTGAAATAGAAATGCCTAAAGCATGTAAAATTGGATTATTTAGCAGCAAGCGTAAAATTTCGAGAAGTTATTTCAGTATATTAAACCAATTTTTTAACAACTTATTAGAAATTACATGATCTCTATTTGAAATTGTTACGTAAATGATAACATTTTTATCACATTCCTACGTTTTGTATTTTCTTCAAATTTTCACAGTTAGCATAACATCGCTTGGATAGATTTTACAAATATACGACTGTTGTGATAACAAGGTTATCGAATTTCTGAGTTTACTTTTCTCTGAAAATAAAAAGAAATAATATAATTTTAATATAAAAAATTTTAATTAATTAAATAAAAAATTAAATTCAAGCAGATACTTTATTTTAACGGAAATTGCAGTTTAATTTGCGTTTTACACAACAATACATTTATCTATATAAAAGTGGACAGAAGGAAAAAATTGTGCAAGATGCAGATGACGTTCAACTAATTTTTCCTTACGGAAAGTTACAAATGTAATCGTTTTTGTCTCCCTCAATAGACGTAAAATACCCAGAAGGACTTAATAGCATTCAATTACCGGAACAAATGATCTCCCGTCTATTTATGATTTGTTTTTAATAGAGAAAATTAATACGACGATTGATATACTGAGCTCAAATTTGTAAGTTTATACGAATGCGGCATAGTAATTTTCAAATAGAGGCGATAGCTTTTATTCAATCTGCTCAAGTGGAAACCGATGATAAAAAGTTGGAAAGATACTGTCATTACCGTACATTTTCATTAAATCTTTGTTAACCGCTTCCATAAAAAATTTTTCTCACGTAAATCTTTTCTTAACTTAGTAACATCAATTATTTTTTTATAAATTATTTTTAAAAATGTTACATATAAAATTTTTTGTTTCGTAACCGCGAATCTAAGTTTAGTTCTAGCAATACAGAACATTCTTTTATACTGTCAATTTTCCTTATTACCGTTTATTTGCAGACAGTAAACAATTTGTCTCTCGACTTCCACACGCTGTATTAGAAAAACCAATTTGCGTAGATGAAAATTATAAATTAAGATAGGAAAAAAAATAGTAGCCTTTCTAACACGGTGTAAAGTACGCTGCCGTAACGTATCATTAGGGCTGGGGAAAAAAATTTTTGTTCGAAGTTTTACTGCAAGAAGATGAAGGTCTTGCCGGTAATAACGGTAGCAGAAAAATATTCTGCGTGCGAATTCTTGCATTAACCTTCATAAACCACTTCCAGCAGTTACGCAGTATAGCCATTAGAAGAGCCATTAAAAGAATTCCAAAGTGTCGTTAAAATAACTGTGTTATTGCCCCATGCCCAGGTAAGCATTCGCAAATAAAATGAAGATTAAATTTAGACATGTATTACATAGTACGTGCAGTTTTAAGACACGGAAGTTTTGTTAGATTTCACTCGAGACGTAGGTCTTCCCAGGCAAATTACGCCGGGATGCGCGTTGCAGCAGTTCGCATTCAATTGTTTTCGCGTTCATTGTTGCTTAACGTAATAAACGTGCCTTTCGTTCTATCATTAACGCCGTTATTAAAGCGATG